TTCATATTAAAAGCTTTGGCTCTGGCACACCTCTCGTTTTCTGTCTGATTGTTCGTTCTCACTGTAACTTCCTAATTCCTCAGCCCCAGTTTTAACTTTTCATAATACTTACATTTTTAAACTAGACTTTTTCATTTGTTAGATGAGATCAGTGGAGCTTCAGGAGTCAAGGACTCTCCCAGCAATAACCCCTTCCTCCATACTCTGATGGTACAGGCTGGCTGGTGCCAGGAGCTAAGGGAGTATGTCCACCTCAACAGCCAGGGTTGCAGACCTGGCAAAAAGCCCTTCCTCTCCCTTCTGTGTGCGGAAGGGTGGAAGGTGGAGATGTCTGCTCTATGCTGCATTTCAGGTTCTTTCCTCGCAGAAGGGGAGAGGGGCTGGGGGGCCTGGTGGTGGAGGTGCTTGGCAAGGCCAGGCAGAGGTCAGTCCCTGCAACACAGTGCAAAGTGGAGCACATCATGGGAGACACATTTATAATTGGGATCACTGGGTGTTGAGCACATTGATATAGTGACCATCAGTAGATCTGAGTCTTGTTACCATTTCAGCATTATGATTCTTCTGCTTCTTTACTACCACCCAAAAGCTTTGCCTTTTTTTTCTTCGCTAAGGGCTTACCCTTTTTCAGGAAACAAGTTAGGATCTGTTGCTTCATCATCAAACACTTTATCGATAAAATAAAAGTCTTACTACTTCCTGACATAGGTGAGCTCAGGTTAAGAAAAAAAAAAAAAGGCTGCTTTGTCCTCCTCAGTTTCTCCTTCTTCTGCTTCTTCTGACTTTCTGACTTCCTGATCTGGTCTCTGTCATCGGGGCTAACCTCCCCAGTAATTTTATCTGACTCCCTCTTTGCAGAATCATGTAGACCTTTTCATGCAGCTTAGGGGTGCCAAGGAATACTTGGTAATTGTAACTGTGCTATGGCTTCCAAGCCGTTTCTGCAGCAAAGTCAAACAGGTTACGTTAGACCATCTTCAGTGTTCAACTGCACTCGGAAACAGGCTGGGAGTACTGAGGCAATCAGGCACAGCAGCAAGATGGATTAAGCAGTGGTGGTTTTTTCTGCAATTAAATACTCACTCTGCACTGCCTATCTGTGAAGGCTTTTAGTCAGGTCCAATGCCAAGAGCTTAGCATAAGCTCTGCTGGCTTAAACTGACCTCTTGACTTTGTGCTGGGGTGGCAGAGGAGTATGCACACGTTTTTTAAGTACAACAAGGATGGACCTGGGTAAGAGAGCAGCTGCACTGAGTCAAACCAAGGGAAACTGTAGCCCTGTACTCTGCCTCTACTACTGCCCCTTGGTAGATGTTAAGGCAAAAAATGTAAGAACAGGGAAGGCATGCAGAGATACATTCTGTGCTCCACTGATCTGTATTATATGGAATTCTTGATTCAGAATTTGTACCTTTACATTTAATAGGCTTTCATGGTTTTTTCTTCTATGACTTTGCATAGTTGCTTTTTGACCATATTTATGATACTGGCAGCATCTGACAGTGAATGCCACTATTCTTTTTTGCTGTGTGAAAAACCCCCACTTCTTTTGCTTGTTTTAAACCTGCTAATTTCATTGGGCATCCTCTTGTTCTCATGTAGTGAGAAGCCAAGCATCCATTCATTTATTTTCTAGGCACTTTCCCAGGGTTCTCCTGATTTTATACATATCTGCCATATCCCCCTTCAGTTGTCCCCTTTCCAAGCTGAAAACTCCAAATCAATTTAAGCAGTTCCAAGCTTTAATTGCGCTTCTTTAGATCCCCCATGTAATTTTTGAGAGGTAAGTACCAGAACAGCAGGCAGCATACAAAAGGGAGGGTACTCTGTGGTTTTGTATAGTGCTATAAAGGTGTTTTCTGTTTTGTGCTCCATTCCTTTTTTTAAAGCTCCTAACTGCTAGCTTTTTTGACTACCAATGAGCACGGGATTTATGTTTTCTTTTAGTAAGCTTTCTTTTTTTTATTAATTCCTTTTTTTAAATTAAACACAATTGAAATTATTTACTTGGTGTGCTTTTTGTACTTACAAGAAGCTGAACTTCAGTTCCTTATGATTAGTGTTTCAGCAGTAACATCTTGAACCAGCCCTGTCCTTTGCTCAGGCAAGATGAAAAAGAGCTGTTATCAGAGATTTTCCAAACATCATTGCAACAAAAGTTACGGTGTTTCAACATTTAGTCTCTGCATTATACCTAGATACAACAATTGCTGAGGCTTTATGAGAGTCTCCCATTAGCTCTAATGCTAATTTCTAAGGTTCAGGCAAGGAATTTCAAGACACTGAGAAAGTCTTTTTGACAGAAGATGCAGTTTACATTGATTCTAATTTTAATTTAGTGGAGCATTGCTCCTTCATTGAAATGGCTGGGTCTCTCATCCTATATATTTTTTCCTTTGGAACTGTATGAATTCTTTTCATCATTTTTATGATGCACAGATTATGTCAATGTTATATAGCTGTAGACCAGTTTCTTATTTTTATTTCCACTGCTTATGCATATTTTTGAATAAAGGATAAGTAGATAGATAGATAGATAGCAACTAATATGCAAAACTCACTTTTAAATCAATTATTACTGGATTATAAAGCATATAACATATTATGTTAGAGGACAGAAGTTGGAAATTATACTGCATTTTCAGTTTGAAACTGGACAAGTGAAATCCTCTTTGGCTCCTAATCTCAAATGTGCATTTTTGTTTCTTATATTTTTATATCTGTCATATTCATACTTTTTTTTTGTTATGACTTTTGTCTCTTTCTCCCACTAATGCATAGAGTCAGTCAAAGTGAAGAAGTGTTTAATATTCAAAAAATAGAAAAGCATGTCCTTCATTTAAAACATCTTATCTTCTATTCAGGTATTAGCATTACTACTAATTACTACTGCACTCAATTTTGTGTGACAATGCCAAAACTAAGAACAAAGGAAAAAAAGCCAAGGTACTGCACTTTTAGTTTTACGGTTTGTATCACAATGGTCCTATAACCCTGGGATTTGTGTGCTGGCATTTATGAAATCAGTGGAAATCAGTGCATACTTCACAAGTTTTGTGAAGCTTACGGCACCTGTATCACTGATTAACTTTCAGACTGGTAAAAGAAGGTATTTTTTAAATTGAGGAATCCTTTTTTCAAAATATGTAGTATTTCAGACATGTGACCAGATCTGATTTTGACATATTTTGGACATACAATTTTGCAAGTGCATCGGTGTAGATTTCCCTTCCCTCCCTTAGACCCTAAATCCTGCTCTCCTGCTTTAACCCTGGGAGTCAGAGAGTCCTCCTGCAGACTGTGGGAGAGCAGGTCACAGCCATCCATCCAAAGGTACAACCATTGCTCTGCTGGCCTCGGGGCTCTGTGTTAAACCTGCTGCCATCTCATAAAATCCAAAGAAAATCTTCAGCGAGTGAGTTTTTCATTGTGCCATCCCTAAGCCCAGAGTGAGTACAAGGGCCATTTAACACAGTAGATTTTTCTAGTGTATTACAATTACAGAAATGTCAAATATCGTTTTGTTAAACCACTGCAAAAAATTCATAGAGTATTCAGTTGTTGCAAGACTGCTCAATTACTTACTTACCTTTATTGACGTGGTCATGTGGCTGAACATTGTAATTCATTGGAAACACACAAGAATACTAGTACCAGAAACAATTTTTACTTTGCCTGCAAAATGCATCTTATGATGGTTTACTGTGCAGATACAAGATATTTCTTTATCTGTGTCACACTCATATGTGGTTAAAATAATTTTTGCCAGTTGCTAGTATTATTTCATCATGCAGAAGCCCTAAGTTGTGGGATAAGAAATAAAAAATGGTCATATGGTCTACAAATACCTTCAGCAACTTAATATCCTTACATAGGTACTTTTTGCTTTGGAAACGTTTCTCAGAGCTGGATAGTATTTTTAGTTTCCCATACTAACTGCTGAAAATCTACTTGTAAGGCATCATGTTCACTGCCCTTCAATGCAACTTGCAGATGAAAAAAGATAACTCTGCATAAATAGCATGTTCTTATCTTTATGTCTTATAGTAGTCTTCATGGTTTTTTTTTAGAGAGGAGTTGCTCATTTTTTTATATTCTTTTATTTAATTATTTTAATATTTTATTTTTAACCATATTTTTGAAGACAAATTTGAGGTGTCAGTAAGAAACCAGTTTTCAGACCAGATGTGCTAGAAATGCAAACATACAGATATTAATAGATAAGAGGAGACCATGGTCCATCTAATCTAATAATCCTTCTGACAGAAAGTAGGTGATTCAGAGGAAGTTGCCAGTAATTTCATGAAAGACAAATAGAGGGTGATCTGTCAGCCACCTTTAGTCTTCTCAGAATTCCTTAGTACTCTGAGATAATTTTAAGCCGTAAAGCATAAGGTTTCAACTTTCTTTGAAAATACATTAGCATTAACCGTTAAAATCTGGAGCTCATGAATAGCAAAAATTTGACAAATAGGAAAAGTGAGATAGTGCAAGCATTACTGAATACTGCAAATCTCTGAATCATTCAATGATTATTTACTTTCTAAGCAGATGAGAGGATTTGGGGGGGTGAAAATGACATAACACAGTGAATAGCCAATACTTTTATGGTCCTTTTGATCCTTCAAAAACTTGTATTGTGGCATAAATGTTGCAAAAGTAATTTGTCCTAACTAACAGTTTGAAATAAGCAAACAGCTCTGGTATGCTGCCTATTTGTCAGGTATTTGCATGAGAGGAATATTAATTTACCCTGTTAAAGTTTCAGGAAGTCCTAATATGGTATATACTTGTGAGCATGATTTGATCACTAGTGTTACACCAAGAAAATTAATTAGCATTTCATGAAAGGTGAATATTTAACATTTTGAACTAATCTTTATATTAGCTGATGAACCAGATCCTACCTCACATTATCCCATTAATCTAAGGCAAAAGAAGCAGCAGCAGCATACGTATTTCTCCAAATTTATGTGATATTCCTTTTCTTTTCTTTCCAGACAACTATTACGGTACTCCAAAGCCTCCAGCAGAACCAGCTCCACTGCTGTTAAATGTAACAGATCAGATCCTCCCAGGTGCCAGTCCCGGGGCTGAAGGCAAACGTAAAAGGAATAAGTCTGTGAGCAATATGGAGAAGACAGGTATTGAACCACCAGAGGAAGAAGAGGAAGAAAGACCTGTGGTCAATGGAAATGACGTGACAGTAACACCAGGTCTGTTCTTCCTTCTTACTTTGCAATGCGTTTCTGTTATTCACAGAGTCCTCAGTTACCTCCTTCTGCAGTGAGAATATGCATGTTCAGGTAAGGATGTTCTTGCAAGACTGAAAGCCAGGAATCCTAAATAACAGGATTTCTCTGAAGCCTAAAACAAATTACTTAACCTCCGTTTTGGGGAGTCATCTCACTTACCTCAGCTGCCGTAAAGATACCTGTCTCTGAACTAGTCCCTTTGAAGCCTCTTTAAAGACCAAAGAGAAAAACACCTACTTTCTGAATACAGTTCATGTGACCTGTTTTAGATTTCTAGGTTAGGAAATCAATCACAAGTGCCTATTTCTCTCCATTGACTATAGAGGGAGTCTAGAGAACTGCAATTTGGTCAAATGAATCTAGTCTCTGTGTTTCAGGTCTCCTTGTTCTCAAATGGTGATACTCACAAGAGTGTTGGCTACGTTATGAAGTGAACTTTGGTAAATTGTTATGAAATCTTAGCAATATTGTGGAAGAATAAAGTTGTCATCATATAAACGAATTTTTGACAGTGCTGATGAAACTTAGCTGGCAATACTGTCAGGAAGGACCCTTTTCAGCAATGTTCCAGAGCCTGCATAAAGCTGATAAAGGTTCAGATGTCTAGTCCTAAAAGGCAGCTGTTGTTTTACCTCTTGGAGCATAGTTCTTCAGAAAAAAAGGGGCTCAAGATACTGACTGGTATCCTGAGTGATAGCACTCCAGCCTTTTCCCAAGCAGGTAATCAGCATTTCAGCAAGTCATCATTTTACAGTACTTAATCGTTTTCATTCTGAAATACCATTTAAGAAATTTTGTTGGTGGTGTTGTTGAAGTAGGAAATTAAAGAATTCAGACTTTTATATCTCTCTGAGAAATAATTCTGTGAATCCTTTTTGGTGAACTTACTTAGAAATGCAGAAACAAATTATTGCAGTAGAAGTCTGTAGTGACAATCATATGAATGAGAAAATAAAATGGAATATTGCAAGTTCTCTATATGTATAGGTTAATGTGAAACAAAAAATCCATTACCTAATCTTCTAAGCACTGTAAAAAAGATTTTCGTACTGCAGATTCTATATGTACTTTTTTTCCTCCTACTGCATTAGAAAGTATATCGAATTGAATATCTTCCCATGAGGGATGTATTTGCCACATGCTTTTCTGTAGTTGTTGCCTAACATTACATGTAAGGGCAAATTCCATTGCAGAATCCATCCCTGTGTACAAGGGGGGTGGCAGGGAGCGGTGGGGTGAGAGTGGATCTCGTTCTCCCCTCTTGGCTCGCCAAAGGGCTGCAGCATTACTCCCTGGCCGTTACCACCACACGCTGTATGAGCCTTGCTCATCCCTTGCACACAACAGCGTATCTGCCGACAATGCTCTGATGCTTAGTGCCTTTCCTACACAGCTAAGCAGAAAAGGATGAAGCCCAGAAATCCTTACGTAAAACATCAGCACTGGCTCTGTTGCCAGGATACTTTCACAGCGAAAGAGGCAAAGGCAGGATTTGGTCTCTGATGTGTATTGCAGAAATCATTAGAAAGATCACTTTGCAGTTGTTCAGAATGTGCCACATAACGGACCAATTGCTGAGGTGTAATTTCCAGGGCAATATGTTTCAGCTCGAACTGGATCAAGAGGCAATGTTTACCTGCTTTTTCTCCTTGCATTGTACACCTATAGTTTTCTTCTCCCAGGCAAATTCTATGTGAACGATGACTAGGCAGCACCCAAGGAACAGCATGTGCTGTGTTACAAAATGAAATACAGGAGCATTGGTGTAAGACAGCCCCCTTCCTCCCCCTCTTCACCCCCCACAAAGTAATTCCTGTAGGTGTGGCCAGCAGAACAAGCAGTGCTTGTGTTGGCTCTCATGGTTTCATAAGCAGGGTTTTGTTGTTCAGTTACACTGATTGAGGACTTTGGGGATTGTAGCAAAGCAGCTCTGTACATACATGCTGTGTTGCCTTTGTTGGGCACTGTAGCTCCCACGGACCCTGTTACTGCAGTCAATTTCTGTGTGTGCTGACAGAGTCTTAGCTACCTCTAAAATGTGTGTGCATTTGTAGTTTGTGTCTTTGAACAATCAGGAAAACCAGAATATGTCAAATTTTTTTTTTTTTTTAAACTCTTGGTGGAGGGAGAAATCTAGTTTTTATAAAGAAGCAAGGAGGGTGGGTTATTTGTTATTTCCAGTTCTTTTAGAAAGTGTATTCTGTTTGAAATGCTTCACTTCTAACGGGAGTCTTTTATTAAACATAGGACTCATGGGACATCTGAAACACTGGCACATTTTTTATAGATGCTCAGCAACTTAATGGCTTTTTAACTGCCAAAGGTATCAGAGTCTGGCAACTCAAAGGACTGCTGTTAACACCTAGGACTGCTAGGTTGAAATTGTAACAGATCTAAGATGAATCTGAAGAAAATAAACCCATCTTTATCAGATCAATAGGTGACATTTGTAGTTGCAAAGATCTTTGTGCTTTTGGTCTGATTTTTCAGACCACTTTTCAGTGTCTGTTGAGATAATCTGTGCATCTGTTGGGCTTTATTAGTAGGAATCAATTTTTCATTAATTCACTTCCACATACCTTGCTTCATAGGCCATCAGATTCCCCTCATACAGTTGTATATGGACAGACTGGAGATCTTCAACCATGATCCATAATTGTCTTCTTGTCAATTTGTGCTGCACAACGTGTTTATTCTTTCTGATTTTTGTCACCTGTCCTCAGCCCAGAACCCAACAGGAATCCTTCTCAATTCTTCAGAATGGGGCTTTTGGCCATTTTAGAATGGAGCACTCTCAGTCTTCCATCCTGGATCAAGTTGTCTCAGGACAGAATAGTATTAATTGGGAGATGGGTTTTATTTCAACCAGCTTTAGTAAATTATATGCCTAAATGCCTTACTTTTTGTTTGAGCTACTTGTTTCTGCTCTCTTTATATAAAGTAAGGAGAAAGAGGCAATTCCAAAGAGTAAGACACCATAGCTGTTTTAGATACCCATTTTAGGGGATCACCTCTAGAATCTGGAATGCTTAACTCAGCCTACAGATACACAAAGGCCTAGATGGCTAAATTTAAATGAAGAATCCTGCTATTTGCCAAGCAGCATATGAGAGACACAATCTATAGATTAGCTGTTAAGATGGCCAAGTCTAGAGTTAGCACTGGGTTTTTCACACCTAGTGCAATTGCCCACGTTACTGGACTTCTGGCTGCTCTAGGTTGGGTCTCTGCCATTCACTGGTTTGTGTGAGACATCTTCCACGCGAGAAGCCTTTCTTGATGGACACTGCATTGAAATGAACAATTTCTGTAAAACTGATTCTTTGACAAAAGAGGTAAAAAGAGTCTTGGTCAAATTGCAACCTGTTTGTCAGACATTCGGTTTTCACTGCTGTTGCTGTTCATGTCTGCAGAGAATTGTCAGTCTCCTTCACAACCAGCATCATGATTTGACACTGTGTTGGTTATGTCACATTTGCTTCACACTTCTGACTGATTGTTTATCATCCAAACTCCAGAAGAACCACTCTAACATTGAAAGAATGCTTATGTATGTGCATTATTCTGATATTACTTGAGCAATGAAAAGTTGCACCCAGAGAATGAAAGTTCTGGCAGGCTCAAATTAATTGAGGGATAAGATATGACATAAAATTTCAGAATTATCATTCCATGCCTTAGGTTGATAATGAAGCAAAAGGGTAGAGTCCCAGTGCCATCAATCACCACGCAAGGTGCAGTAGTCCCAGGCAACAGGTTGAGTTTACTCTTTTATTATTACACAGCAAAGACAGCCAGGGGCATGAAAATTATACACATGGCATCCAAGAGCCATGAGATTTTAAAAAATACAGAAGTTGATATCCATTGATATTTCTGTTGTAGGTGTGTTCTCTAAACTCAATTTATCACATCTAGGTCGCAACCTATGACCTACAGAATACCCTATGCTCTCCCAGTCTCCACGTGTCCTGTTTTCCTTCCCCCACATCAGCTCCTAGTTCTTGTTGTGTTAGTAGTCAGTGGTAACAGTGCCTCCATGCAAAGCACCAAAAGCCAAATATGCGTACAGCTCTGTGGGAAAGGGAACAGCTCCAAGGCTGCAGAGTGATATTTTCTCAAGAAAATAGATGCACATAGCTCAGCAAACATGAATTAGACTACTCTTGTATCCAACAGTCATTTAAAATGGATGCACTGTTTCCTATGCAAAATTTAACAAATTAGTCATTTAGATATAATAAGGGTATAAAGAGCTGCAATATTTTTGTTGAGAGCTGCTAAAACCACTCCATAAATAACTATTTAATAATATTTCCTTTAATTTGTTCTCTGCTGATATTGCTTAGGTCATCTGAGTTGGTTCTTTTGGAAGAAAAGAATAACTTTTTAAACTTTACTGCATGAATAATCTGCAGCATTAAGATAAAGGAATAAAGTGACGAGGTCCTCTTACATGATTAGATGGCAAATTTCAAGAGGTAGACTGTAAATAATAGAAACAATTTAAAGTGCAAGGAACAGCATTGATGAAGGCTCAAATTCTGAGACTATCACAACATAACTACCAGTTATTTTTAAAAAATGGTCACCATATTGTCTAAGAACTGTATAGAGAATATGTCATATCAACCAGTAATATTTTAACTGCTGATATTTGGAGTTGGAGTACTACAGAGATGAACTTAGAGTATTTAATGATAAGTAGGTACTTTTAACATACACATTGTCTTGTTCTCAAAGTTTTTTGTATTCCACATGTGCAATAACTTGCTGGTGCTTTACTGGTGCCTATTCTGTCACTTCCCAGGACACTGAAGATATTGTACTAAACTGCTTTTGAAAACTGGACCATGTAATCTGTTTTGTAGTGAGACAGCAGCTCTAGTAGGCTATTTCATTGATGTAAAGTAAATTGATTTTTTTTTTTTTTTTTTAGTGACAAAAATACTTCTGGACTCATATTATGGTACAATTTGAAGATTTTTTTAATATCATATATTGTCTGAAGATAAGTATTTGTGCTCACAGTGTGTTACTGTAGTATTTCAAACTTAATTTGTACATTTAAGACACTGCTAGTTTTAAACCAGAGCTCCTGGTTTTTATCATATCAAACATTATATATGAATATATATTAGCAGAAAGAAAACCAGTAAGGTGAATATCTACCTTACCTGGAGTATATGAATGATAGATACATATAACAAAAGATGAGATGACACCGTAGGGCTGTGTTCCAGATAAGTGTGACTAGGATGTCCATTGTGTAAAACTTAATGTTCTTAAATGGCATTAGGCAATTCTACCTTAATTGCTTGGGTTTTAGTCATCATGATGCCTTCTCCATTATCAAAGTAAGCTATTAAAACCTAATGGTCCATTAATTGATAATTCATGAGATTGGCTTTAAAATAATTATATTTTTAAGTTGTTAAATAAGCATCAGGTTCCTTTTTTGCGTGCTATATTTTGATAGCAATCTCTGTCTTAGACAAGCTCAAAGTATCTCTTCTAATCCTCAAGGCTTAATTTTCACATTTTTTCTGCCATCATGATGTCTGGGATTTGTTAATACAGTTATTGAAAATCAAGGATCTGACCTCTTCAGACCTGTTGAAAATAATATCTTGAGGAAGAACACATATTACAGATACTGTAAAATCCCAAGACACAGCAATGTCACCACATCTGTGCTACAGATTCTACCTTTTGTACAATTCTATCTCAAGTAGAAGACTATTGAAAAGTCATGGCTTAATCAAAATTATCTCTGATTATACTTACTATTTTTATTTTTCATTAGAATAATTTGTGCTTGCATTCTTAGTATTGTTTATTTAATCTTTAGCAGTTCTCCTGAACTCTCCTCTCTCTCTCTCTTTTCCCTTACCATTGCTTGCCATAACATTGAATTTATTAATTCTGTGAGTTTATTAAAATCTGGGGGTTTAAGACCATTGTTATTAATTTTTTTCTTGTTCTTCTTTCTTGTTGTCCTAAGCATCACAAATGAGATGATTTCACCCAAGTGGTCTTCCACCTCCTACATGCTTCACACAAGTATCTGCATAGTTCCATGCTCTGGATGCACTGTTAGCTCATTTAAGAAATTATCATCTTCTTGAACTTTATTGCAGACTACATTGTTGACTTCTTTTAAAAACATATTTTCTCCTTTCTTTTTTTATAATTATCCACAGACTTCGATATAGTCCATACAGCATTAGTCAGAGCAAGTGTATATACACTTTTGATGATACAAAATCATACAAACTTACTTCATTTCTTACCTATCTTTATGAACAAGCTATAGTAGTCTCAGCCTAGTCTCTATTACACCAAATATGTCCCATTTTGATTAAATACTGGTGTACAAGTTCACAGTTTGTTCTCAGTTCTCTTCTGATATTCATTGTGTGCCTATGATTTATATCTCTTGGTGAGCTTATATCATTAGTCTTCACATAACCTAATGTAAAGCCATGCTCACTAGGTCTCAGATTCATTTCCCCTCATTTTAACTATGTAGCAACTGAGCAACTAGCCTAAGTAGGACTGAATTTGGTTTACCTAACTTAACAGGTAGGGTCATTTCAGCCATCTGACTAGGATCCCATCATAGTCAGTGGAGATTCAGTCGCTACATTAAAATTGTGAATTTATTTTAGTTGCAGTTCATTGGGCCAAAAGTAGGGGTCTGACTACTTTTTCAATGAGATCAGGCTTCATTTAAGTGCAACAGAAAAAAAGGATCCAAGGATGAGAGCTTCTGTTGTCCACTGAGACAACAGGTTCCTGCCCCATTTTTTCAATGATAGATAGACCATATGATAAAACACAGCTTACAAACACATACCTAGTAGACCAGTCAACCAAATTTATTCACCTCCAAGGATGAAGGAATCTCTTTCTTTAGTAGGACAAGTTCTCTCAACCATCCTCTGTTTGAGCTAGTAGTAGTCAAGAAAAGATTGCATTTTCTCCACTGTCATTAAAAGTTGTGTGCATGGAAGCCCTGCTATGTGATATTCATTCATGCAGGTGAACATGTAGACTTCAGTGTGGAGGTAAGTGTTCAGCAGTGTGGATAAGGCACATGTAGACTCCTAATACTGCAAACCTGGTCCCTATTTAGCTGATATTTTTTTTTTTTTTGAGGTATCTTTGTGGTTTTGTGTTATGTTTGTGTTCAGCAGATGTTTTAACAACTATCGCTAAGTTTTACTGCACTTGTTTAGCTAAAGTATGTGGACTGCTCTGTGGGAACTGATAGTGGTAGAGATACTGCTGGACACATTTTTTAATTTCTGACTTTATGGAAGGTAAAATCAATAAAAAGTGAAAGATCAAGTACTGAAAAAGAGATAGTAAAGGAAGAGTATTTCCTGAATATATTCTTGGTCACAGTGAGACACAACCACGTTGGGTATAGGAAGTATTTGTCATTGGCTCTGGGAAACTAAGTCTCCCACAGATTATATCCGTAATGAAATCACAACCACTTTCTATACAGTTAATATATTGCTATGAGTTGATGGATGTCATATTGATTTCTTCAATGTATGGATATAGGTAAAGCAGTTAGTGTATATACTTTTTTAACTAAAAAGGATCTGTTGTCTGTAGTAAAACAGCAGGGTAGTTGCTTTATGCGTGTATAGTTTTAAAAGTTAAGACATAAGACAGTAGCATTGCTGGATATGAAGCTCCCTTCTGCTCAGCGCTAACTGCTGGTCTGGAAGGACTCCCAGGACAGAACAAGCCAGAACTCTTTGGCTTGTTTCTTAGCTCTTTATTAGTTTCTTGGTTTAGTTTGGTTTTATTGCTTTATTTTCTTTTATTGTGTTCTATATAAAATGCATCATCAGAGGGACCCTTGTGTAAACCCAACAGAATTCTTCTCTTTATTTCAAGACTTGCAGTTCATAGAGTATTCCTTGGAGACTTGCACCTGGTAAATTCTCCACCTTCAACTTGGATATGCAAAACCTGTAATTTTTCTCTCTTGTAGAATCAAGTGAACATGAAGAGAAGAGTACAGGTGTCTCAGGTGAGGCATCTTCCACCCAACCTTGTACTGCACCAGGATATACTCAGCCTGAAGAAGCAAAGGAGGATATGGATGTAACAAAGCAGACTAAACCTGAAGAGAATGATGACTTGGGCCCACTGCCTGATAACTGGGAAATGGCTTATACAGAAAAGGGGGAAGTCTACTTTATTGAGTGAGTCTTATTTCTTCTTTTTCTAATAGCTGTGTCGTATTTAACTGGGTGGGGAAATGGTTTGTATGGTGGAGTGGAGCATTGCACTCCTTCTCATTAAAACAGCAGGCATATTCTGCCTGTCAATGCTCCTGAGAGCCTGTGGCAATCCCTACATTACTGACTTACATTGAAGCATGCTGGTTTTTAGGATAGGTAACTGGACTGCTTAGCACTTCGATGGCAGCAATTAAAGCTGTTGTTTCTTGTGTTGAAAGCAACGCTTTTCTGCTGTTCTGATGCTTATGGGAAAGTAGCACAATCACTGGGTTTTTATCATAGGATCATAGAATCATAGAACGATTTGGATTGGAAGGGACCTTAAAGACCATTTAGTTTCAACCCCCCTGCCATGGGCAGGGACACCTTCCATTAGACCAGGTTGCTCAAAGCCCCATCCAACCTGGCCTTGAACACTTCCAGGGATGGGGCATCTGCAACCTCTCTGGGCAACCTGTGCCAGTGCCTCACCACCCTCACAGTGAAGAACTTCTTCCTTATATCTAATCTAAATCTACCCTCTTTCAGTTTAACTCCATTACCCCTTGTCCTATCACTACATGCCCTTGTAAAAAAGACCCTCTCCAGCTTTCTTGTAGGCCCCCTTTAGGTACTCGAAGGCTGCTACAAGGTCTCCTCAGAGGTTTCTCTTCTCCAGGCAGAACAACGTCAACTGTCTCAGCCTGTCCTCATAGAAGTGCTCCAGCCCTCTGATCATCTTCATTTCCCTCCTCTGGACCTGCTCCAGCAGGTCCATGTCCTTCTTATGTTGGGGGCCCCAGAGCTGAACACAGTTCTCCAGGTGGGGGTCTCACAAGAGCGGAACAGAGGGGGAGAATCACCTCCCTCGACTTGCTGGTCACACTTCTCTTGATGCAGCCCAGGATATGGTTGGCTTTCTGGGCTGCAAACGTGCATTGCCGGGTCATGTTGAGCTTCTCATCAATCAGCAGCCCCAAGTCCTTCTCTGCAGGGCTGCTCTTAATCCACTTATTGCCCAGGCTCTATTTGTGCTTGGGATTGCCCCAACCCATGTGCAGGACCTTGCACTTGGCCTTGTTGAACTTCCTGAGGTTCGCACAGGCCCACCTCTCAAGTCTGTCAAGCTGCGTCTGGTTGGCATCAATTCCCTCCAGCATGTCGACCGCACCACACAGCTTGGTGTTGTCAGCAAACTTGCTGAGGGTGCACTCAATCCCACTGTCCATGTCGCCAGCAAAGATGTTAAACAGCGCTGGTCCCAATACCAACCCCTGCAGAACGCCACTCATCACTGCTCTCCAGTTGGACATCAAGCCCTTGACCGCAACTCTTTCAGTGTGACCATCCAGCCAATTCCTTATCCACCAAGTGGTCCATCCATCAAACCAATGTCTCTACAATTTAGAGACAAGGATGCCATGCAGGACAGCATGAAATACTTTGCACAAGTCCAGGTAGATGACATCCATTGCTCTTCCCTTATCCACCAATGCTGTAACCCTGTTATAAAAGGCCACCAAATTTGTCAGGCACGATTTGCCATTAGTGAAGCCATGTTGGCTTAACTTCCTTATGTGCTCTTCTTTATGTGGACAGAGGTGGAGAAGGCTGAGCTTTTGCCAATTTAAGAAAAGAAAGATAGGTGGGCTAAAAACTAGCTAGTACAGAGTAAAGGGAGGCCATGCTGTATTCAGAAATAATAAAATAAATGAGTCGACAATAAGGACAATTAATTATGTGTAGAAACTTTTTCCTGTTTGTAAGCTATACATACCTGTTGCTAATTAGCCAACTCATTGAACAAATGGACATGAAAGTTCTTTCTTCTCTTAGTGCTGTCATTAATACACATTACCAGAATAAGAACACAGCAAATGAGTGAGTTCATATAACATCATGTTCCACAAAAAAAAGAGAAAGTAAAAAACAACATCTTCATCAGCAGAACACTGCTACAGAGGTAGCAGTAGCATTTATGTTTGCTTTAAGGAAACAATTGCCTCAAACAATTTGGAGTGTTAGCCATTATTCTGATTATTAGTAGGTAAAAATAACTTTTGGTGGTGTCAATTCTGCTTTAAGTCTCTTATTTCATGTAAAATTTTATGACTATCACATGAAGAGTAAATAAATTATAAGATTAAAGTTTGTGCACATGATTTTTCATGAACACTGGCATGACCAACTATAGCTTCTGGCATGCACAAGGCTGAAAAGAGCAGTAACTATTAAAACGTGTCTTTGCTGAAGAGGGCAAAAATGTGCTTAATCTAGGAAAAGAATAATTATAGTAACTTTGCCCAAGCAAGCAGAGAACCAGGATGACCTCAGGGCTAGCTGAAACCCTTGTTTCCTTCTTACCTCACTCCCAAATTTAATTTTTCTGCACATATTGAATGCTCTGACAGAAAGCATACTGAATTATGTGGCACTTTTATTTCTCTTGTTGTGACAAAAACCTGAGATATGTTTGGGGGTGGAGGATGGGACGATAGGTAGGTCACTAGAACACCAAACTGTGACAGTGGTAAACACTGCAGCAGGCAATTTAATAGAAAATAAATGTTTATTTTGTAACAAATACAGTGAATGCAAATAGCCCTGCCACTCTACAGAGCAGCCATTCCACTCCTCAAATTCCTTTGATGTTACAGCTTACTTCCTTTCCTGGAAATGCTCTGGTTTACACTGCAGTTCTGACAATGCTTATCATTCACTTCCACTAAATGAATGTTATGTAAAGCAGAGAAATCAATCAGAGGTGCAGACTGGATAGAACAACTGTTGTAAGGGCTCCTTGCCTTTGGGATTATATTCTTGAATAATGTAATTGCAAAAATAGTGCAGTTACACATCTGTAAAAATACCAGATTATTTACTAGAATCCTAGCTAAGGAACAACTCTTTGATCATTGGAGTTTTCACATTGCACAGTCTTCACAGGGTTAAGCAGGAATGTAATGCTGTGGGGATGCTGTTAAATTGCCTCTTTGTTTACAAGTCACTTTGGTTAATGGCATGAAGAGACTCCATTTGCTTTCGCAAAAAAACAGAAAGATAAAAAGACAACAAAAACCTATTTGTCTAACAACATCTCCCCGAACAGTAGTAAAGATTTTACTAGATTATTAAATAATAGATGAAAAACAAACATTTTTTTAAAGTGTACATCACAATGGGTTGAAAAAAGTCATACTAGGCAGCATCTTTTATTGCTTTATTTGAGGCGCATGTGAATTGTGCCTTTAAACCCTTAGGACTTCAAGCAGTAAGTGATCTCAAGTTCGACGTTGTCACAGGTATACCCAAAGGTCTTAGATTTCATGACAGCATTTTCATTCATTCACCTCAAACTAACCTCTAAAATTTTTATATGAGCTCATTTATCAAAACTGCCATCAGAAGTAACGTGGCAGATTTACAGTGAGAGAGGGACTGACTTCATAAGAAGAAAAATAACTGTCTGTAGACAGTATTATTTATTTGTTAATCATTAATGGCCCAGTTAGCATTTTGTAAAGCACACTGGAAGGAATTTCCTCTGCTTCAAGGACTAAAGAGAAAAAAAAATAATACTAGATTCAATGGATGATTCAGAAGATGGTTGTATTCTAGAGCGTGGCTTCTTCTGTTTATTCCTTTCTTTCCCTTTTTTGACATAGGTGCATGACCTTATGTTTACCTATATTAGCATTCACAGACAGAACAGGAAGAGCATCCCTTCCTACTGCATAATACTTACCACTGTTTTTCAGGAATAGCTACTTAAGTACATTTCTTGGGCTGTTTCCAGCCTCCCTTACATTTGAATCCCAATTTTCAAATACAGGCACACACCACACAAATGGGAGTCATCACCTACATTTGCTTTCATTGAGAACATATGCTAATGAGAACACGTAATAATTAAAATACTGTATATAAATTGGAATACCACCAAAAAAACCTCCAGTTCTGCTCCTTCTTTCCTACTTTAAATATGGCTGATGAGTGTGACCTATTTCAGCATGCTTAAATAAATTGTAGCCATCACTGATTTTTAGTGTTTCCCTCTCCCAGGGCTAAGGAAAGGCTGCAGTTCCCCATAGCCTTCAGACCTCACTTTGCCAACTACTCTCAAGCCACATACTAGAGACGCAAGCATCATGTTGTCCTCACGAAGTCAGCAGACTTTGGCTGTGCTGGTTCCCCAGCAATTGATGTTTGCTGTGTTAGTCCAGTGCAGTGTTGAGGGGAATACAAAAGGACCAAGATTCTTGGTGCATCTGCTATCATGTGCGGTCAGCCTTAAATGCAGCCCTCACCCAACTCTCCAACCCCATCACATACACCATTACATTATAGACTGTCCTGTAGAGTTGGTTACACATTATGATACTGATTTATAAAAGGCAGAATTGATTTTTCCTCCCCCTCCAGCCCTCTATCCAGCTATAAGCAGCAGAGCTCTCTGGAAGGGGCGTGGGGAGAGTAAGACATTAAACCAGGAAGAGCTGCAGTGCGTTAAGCTGAACTACAACTGAGCCTTGATGAATAGTCTCAAGGATATTACATAGCCCATGACAAAAACTATTTAATGCTATACTGTTCAAAAGCACATACGGTTTCCTTTGCTTATACTACGTTAATGATTGTTTCGTTAGTGGAGAAAAGTCTAGAATAGATTCAAACCTCTGTAATACATCTTTAAAGGATGATCTTCTTTGACTTGTGGTGGTGATTTTTAGGAGAATTTGGCCACATAAGGTTAAAAAACCACTTTCCAGTACATGTCAGACATTCGGTCTCTTCCTACTTCAACACCTGCTTCTCTGAGCAGCATAGTCAGCACTGCTTTTTGGACCTGTTGCAGTATCTTTTCCTAGTTGTTAAAGCTGCTTTTTTTTTTATGAGAGCACCATAAAAGACTACAAAACACCTATAAAATAGGCCTCTGCCAAGGACTCTTCTCTTCACAGTAAAAACCAGCCATTAAGTTT